TCTAGTGACAAAAAAATCTACAACTCCCCGAAACATTCGAAGAGCCAACGCCCATCCCTCTTCATTCGGACCTTCCAGTATCATCACCACTCCTTTGCGACGCTTCTCTCCGTATTGTGCGATCATCAGATACCTACCACGACTGTTTCCACAACGCTGTGCCATAAAAGCTCTTCGAATGTATTCTTTGGGGGTGAGGTTTCCATTGTACCTTGATCTTGATTTTCTTGAGTAAACTAATATCTCTGTCATGTTGCTTTTTCTCATCTCCCCTTGAGTTTGAGTTGCCTTCTGTAAATGGCACGTTAGAACAAGATGGTGTTGTAGGTTCAGTGTTTGGGATAGATTCAGAGGGAGGAGAAAAATTGATTTTCAAGAACTGATCTTCACTTACATTCTTCCCTTGAAGATGGTTTTCTGAAAATAGGGAGTTTTCTTAAGGAATGTGACGTCAAGGAATGTGACCCCTTTTAGTAACGGGATCATAGCATTTATAACCTTTTTGTGTAGGTGATTATCCAATCAATACACACTTAAGTGCACATGGATCTAATTTAGCCCTTGTTTGAACTCATTTTTTGAAAAAAAATTGATTTTGGAATATTGTTTTTTTAAAAAATATGTTGTTAGAAAGTAAGGAGAATTTTAGGTTTATGTGTAATATTATTTTATTGAGAGAACGTGTAATTGATAAGAGGAGAGAGAAAAATGAATTAAAATTTAATGGGGGCCAAATATGGGCTTATTCCTACGGTGAGAATGTATACGGGCAAAGGTTGTACATCCAAACACTTTTAGCGGTAAGATTTAGTTAAGGGGAGAGTTAGGGAATAATTTTTGGAGAAGAGATTCGAATGTGAGGATGCGACTTGACATTTCATTTGAGATATGTTGATGTCAAAATGGCATCTCCCCATAATGTTTTGGGCATATTTGTAGTAAACATTAAGGCACCAGCAACTTCAAGAAGATTTTTTCGTTCGGCAACCACGTTTTGTTAGGGAGTGTTGACACATGAACTTTTGGTGAATTATCCTTTTCTCTTGAAGATAGTTTTTTAGAGTATTTGTTGTATATGTGGCTCATATAGAGTGGAAGATAAGTTTATTGGATCAAAATGGCCAATGTCAGCATCAGCCTTGTAGGTTTAATTCACTGTTTGTTTGCCAGGGACGTTGACTATGTTAGGGGAGTTGCCCTTACGGTACGGTATGGGTGTATTTTCTTGTATGGGCTTGGGCTAGGGTCAGTATAAATACTAATGATGTAACCCTATTGTTCATACTGAGTAAAAATCTCCACTTTGTTCCTTATGGACGTAGGCATATCGCCGAATTATGTTAAATACTTGTGTTGATTTCTCTATTATTTTGCACTTAAAATCTAACACTATTGTTGAAATATTTTGTGCCCTTACCTGTGCGTAGAATTTGAATTCGTTTTTGGAATTGGGTTTGAACCATTAAATGAAAATTGATAAACATTGAATGAACATCAGTTTTTTTTTTTAGAAGATAGACCCAACAAATTCGAGTATGATCGTCGATAAAAGTGAAACCATTTTGCATGGGTACGATTAGGGGTTCGTGAAGGTCTCCATAAGTAACTGAATAATAGTGAATGGTTTAGAAGGTTTATATGTGGATATTAGGAACGAGAAGTGTTGATGCTTTGCAAGTTCACAAATTTTACAATGAAGGTCATCATGGATTTTATTCAAAAATACGGAAGGAAATACACGTCTTAAATATTGAAAATTTGGGGAGATCCATTCTATAATGCCATAATAAAATTTCACTATTCTTAGAAACAAATGCAGAATCACAATTAGCAAATTGAAGTTTACTTATATCAACCTTTTCATAGTAGTAGAGTTTTTCATACTCCTTAGCACTATCAATCATCTTTTTCGATAATAGTCCTGAAAGACACAGTGAGATGGAAAAAATTAGTAGAACAATTGGATTTTTTTGTTAATTGACTATGGATAATAGATTGCAAGACAGTTTTGGGACATGGAGAACAGATTTGAGTGTTATTGAACGAGAGATTCGAATACTCCCTTTTCCTGTGACCGGAGAGAGTGTGCTATCTACAATTTTGACTTTAAGGTTGCCAGTACATGGTGAATATGTGGAAAACAGATGGTGGGAGTCCGTCATATGATCGGATGCACTGTAGTCAATGATCAAGGGAACTTTGGATTTTGTGATAGTACTTGAAGCTTTCAAAAAATTACCTTTGTAAGCCAATGAACTTGATGGACTTTTAGTGGAAGATTGACCAGATGCTTGGAGGCTAGAGAACATTTGATATAGTTGCTCCATTTGGAGAGGGATTAGTTGTTGTCTCTGCTTGATACCCTCGGCTCTTAGCCTTTTGTCTTGGTTTCTAGTTTGTGGGTTTTCCATGTATTTTCCAACAGGTGTCTTCCTTGTACCCCTGCCTGCGACAATGTTCATACAAGTTCGTTCTCATTGCTGATTATGAGTTGACCTATTTGACATGATGGGCCCGACACTCCCGATCCATTTCCAATTGCTGGTCCAGATCTTGACCTATAATTAAATTCTATTTCTAGTCCATTAATTTTTGAAAATAGAGGTCCAATTCCAAACCTATTGCTTGCAGGCCTATTCGCTTTAAAAAGCAAAGGCCCATTGCCTTTAACAGATAGGGCCAACATCTCGCTAGTTCTAGTCGTATCCTACAATATAATTTGCCTTCGCGTTTCTTCCCGACGGACCTCTACAAATACTTAACGCGTTGACGATAATTGTTGTTGGCCAGGAATTCGGCCTTTGACATCAACTAATTTGCAATTCAGCCCAGGAAGAAACTCATACACATTCGTTTTCCAATTTCTTTTTGTACTTGCTGCTATCATTTGGGCACTACCATTTTTGCTCGAGGCTGAGATCGAGTTCCTGCTAGAGGTTCACCATCTCCATGTAATATTCCATAACCTCTCTCGATCCCTGCTTTGTCTGCCATAGGCGAGTCTTGATTTCAAATATCTGTGATGAGTTTTTGGAATCAGAGTATGTCTTTTTCATGATGTCTCATACATCCTTTGCAGTCGGATTGAAGAGGTAAGTCTTCCCAATGGAAGGCTTCATGGAGTTCAAGAGCCAGGTCGTTACCAGTGAGTTTTTAGAGTTCCACTTTTGAAGAAGGGTGGCATCTGTTGGTCTCTTTGTCTTGCCAGTAAGGTAACCCAGCTTCCCCTTACTATCGATCCCTAATTTTCTTGATTTGGCCCATTCTCGAAAATTTCTTCCATTCAGTTTCTCCACTGTGAGTTGGGGAGACAAGTTTTCGACTCCATAGGAGCCAATTGAAGAGTTTGCCTCTGTTCCGAATTGATATGTTTCAGCGGTATATTCTTTGCTGTTGACGGTGAAATCTGCCATTGATAGTTAGGTTATTGGAACGTAGGCTCTGATACCATAAAGATAGAAATGACAGAATTATGAAGACTGAATAATTCTGTATATGTTATTCGATAATCAATGCAATGCTATGAACCTTCATTTATACTACAATGAAGATGATGTAAAAGGAAGATAATCTCCTAATAAAGGGGGGAAAAAAAACTTGCCTAACTAATTATTACTTAAACAAGGTATCCAATCAATCACACTACAATTAATAGAATCCCATAATTTCGGGATTTCTTCACCATGGATTATGTTGCATGGATGAACTATAAAACTACCTGAATATGTGTCACTGCAGCTGTTATTATTTTAATCATTTTGATAACTGGAGTATATGTATGGGTCATAGTCTGTCATCTATGTTGTCCTGCAATATGGATTACGAGTGTTTATGTAGCGCCCCGAGTTCTGT